TTCAGCAAGTCATTTGAGAAAGGCCCTAATGAATGTCCTGAGGAAGTGGGGAAATGTGTGGTGGAGGATGGCAAGGTGAAGAGGTTTCACAATTGATTAAATAACTTGATTTGTTATCAGGCTCCAGGTTTGCATCTGGATATGCCACTTTTCAGTTTTCTTATCTGCAAAATAAAGATAACTATACTACTTACCTCATAAGGCAGTCGTAAGGATTAAGTTAGATCATGTACATTAAGATCATTTTGTAAACTATAATGTATTACATGACAATAACTACTATGGCTATTAGTTAATAGCACCAGTAGAGGGTTTGATCTTGAGCCTATTTTAGTCCACATCTCACTAAAGATATGTATGAAAGTAGAGGAAATAGCTTTATCAGATGTGTAGGTGACACAGAGCTGGCAGTGAAAGCTACTATATCTGATGTGTCTTAATAATTCAGAGTTTATTCTAGCGTTAGGACAGTCATAATGATTTGGACAGGCTGGAATATTTGAAAAACAATAAGGAAAAAATTTAGCAAGAATTCACTTTTTAAAAAAAAAATATATTTTATTGATTTTTTACAGAGAGAAAGGGAGAGAGATAGAGAGTTAGAAACATCGATGAGAGAGAAACATTGATCAGCTGCCTCCTGCACATCTCCTACTGGGGATATGCCTGCAACCCAGGTACATGCCCTTGACCGGAATCGAACCTGGGACCTTTCAGTCCGCAGGCCGACGCTCTATCCACTGAGCCAAACCGGTTTCGGCAAGAATTCACTTTTATATCTGTGCTTGGCTAAAAACAAAATTCCATAAGGACAGAATGAGGCAGCTATCCACGGAAGAAGGGTCCAGAAGATCTGGTCAACCTCCAGCCCAGTCTGAAGGAACTATGTGAGGTGGTTACAGAAAAAGGCAGCAGAATTATGGGTTGTGCTTATAGAAGTAGAGGCCATAGTATTCTTCTTGGGCCAGTACCCAGCTGGAGTCATTTGCTTACTTCTGGAGAGAATATACAGAGAAGCAAGATTTCTAGTTAAGTGACAAATGGTTGAAGGGATTAGAAGTGCCTGGGAAAGAGAAGAATAAACAGTGTTGGAAACCATTACTACCATTACAGCAATAGCTAATATTTATTGAGTATTTGTATATGTCTAGAATAGTCCATTATCTATGTTATCTCATCTAATCCTCTTAACCTGGTGAGGTTGGTAGCATTGTTTTCCTGCTTTCCCATTTTGTAGTTGATAAAACAGGATAAATGGTTCACTCAAGGTTACATAGCTAGTAAATGAGAGAGCATGTATTTCCACTCAGACTTTCTTATCTAGAACAGGCACTTTCAGCCAATTTGCTATGCTGCTTTCTAAAAGTTGGGGGAAATAAGCTCACTGACAATATTTGGAGGACGCTCATGTGGAAGAGGGATCAGCCCTAGGTAATACAGTTCTAGAAGGTAGTGCTAGTCCCTGGAAGTGCACAATTCGGGAAGGAAGATTTAAGCTCGGCTTTAGGAAGCGTCTAACTTTTAGAGACTATAGAACGGGCTATATCGCAGAGTCTATTTCTCCAACCACTTGCCAAGTAGAGGTTAGATGACCAGCTCTTAGGGTTTCTCTTCATGTTATGCGATTGTCCTAGGTAGCCTCAGCAACTCTTTTAAGATCTGTCCTTGGCCAACTGTACTAACTAGGACTCATAACTTCAAGTAGCAAGAACCCAACTCACTATAGCTAGAATGTGTGGTCTCTCTTGGAAGAGCAAGGATAGAGCTGATCCTGTCACAATGGAACCAGGACCACGAAATCTAAAGGTCTCTCCAGTTCTTATCTGTACTTGGCCTTGTTGACTTTCTTCTCTCATCTTAATCCAACGTCCATCAGATATCAGAAAACATAGCCACAGGGAGTTCCTGTCCTTTCCGCCCCCACCTAATAGTTTCTGCCACTAGAGATGGTATCTTTGGTACCAAGGCAAAACAAACAAATAAATCTTCTCAGTCAAGGGTACAGGTTGACCCAGTTTAAGAGCCTGCAGCTTCCTCTACACCATCAGTTGCAGCCAGGAGAATGGGACTCGTTAGACAATGGCAAGTCTCATGGGAGCAATATGGATGGATCAGAAAAGGATGCATATTCAATAAAATGGTCTACTGCCCCGAAGGAAAATGACAGAAGGCTGGTACTCAAAAAGCATTGAGAACAACACAGGTTTAAAGTCTTTCTGACTCAACCATATGCAAACTGTGAACATAAACTTTTGGGCTCAGGAGTCTCCATGTTGACATCAGTAACTTTTCTGAGACTATCTGAAGGGGATGCTCACTGTTAAGGATGAGTGTTTGGCATCTATCATGTGCTCAGCACTTAGCTAGGTACTACAGGCCATGGTCCCTATGTTCAAAGTCCTAACAATCGAATGGAATTAAGGACTGAATAGCATTCTGAGAGTCATTTAAAATATAATTATATAGGTTAGCACTTTACAAGTAGGTCTCACATCAAGTTTAAATTAAAACTAGCTTCTCAATGAAATTCTCAATGATTTAGAAATAGCCCAGGCTGCAGAAATTTGTATGCACATATTCATTCATTCATTCATTCATTCATTCATTTGTACTTCGAATGCTATTGCTTTAGACACTCTTTACGGTAATAAAAGTGGTAGTCACAGTTCCCTTCCTTCAAATTTCTTACCTGCTGTTCTCTCTGACTGGAATACTCTTTACCTCACTCCCATCCCCCACTGGTATCACCTCCTTCTATTTAACTCTTGTTCATTTTTTCACATCCTTGATCCTCTTGACTTGGTTAAAACACTTATTGTATGCTCCCATAGCATCCTGGGAGCCTCCCTTTTGGAAAGCTATCATATTGTACTGATAACCATAAGGGGGAGCCAAGTTTTTTCCCTGGGGTCATGTCTCAAAGCTGAAGAATGAGCTTCGTGGACCAGAAGATTTAAACAAAAGCATACAAAATTCATTACAAGCACATTGACTCCCTGCATGGGGAGGGTTCCCAAATAATGGGTTTTCCATTGAAGCTTTGTAGTCTAGGGGTATATATTTGCTATAAGCCTGTTCTATATGTACCTGTGTCGCCACCTCATTGATTCCATCAATTGTTCTTGCCCAGCAACGGACCTGAGCTTTCCCTGTTCCTATGCCTCAGTTCACCTTATTGCTGCAGACCCTCCCTAGTTTCACATGCCTCCCGCTGAGTCCAAAAACATTCTATTATTTCTGCATGGTTGGTTCCTGCAGTGAGGCTGCTCAAACTGCCGTGTCTGCCCCTGCCCATGTTCCACCTGCCTGTTTTCCACTGGACCCCTGTCCTATCTGCCTGCGTGTCAAGCTAACTCCTCTCAGTACTTTTTTTTTTACCCAATGTGTGTCTTCTTTAGTAGAATCAAAGCCCCAGGAGGACAGGGCTATGCTTGTTCTGTGACTGCAATGCCTAGAACACGGTCACAAAAATAGCAGGGACTAGATATTCATTAATTGGGCAGATATTTACTGAGCGCCTGTGTCCAAGCATTGTTCTTGGCACTGAGGATACAAAAGGGGAAGAAAAAATATATGGTCCCTTCCTTGATAGAGCTTCCATGTTAGCCAAAGTTTTGATTTGATAGAAGAGTTATCTAATTTAGGCTCATTTCCCAGATAGTGAGAAATGCCGTAGAGATTGATTTGAGTCAAGCCGCATGGAGACTTTGAGTGGCACCATTAATTGTTCTTAATTTCCTCATACACTGCTGCTTCTCAATACACATTTCACAAAGCAAAGGCGTGTGCGCGAACTTGTTTATTCAGTCCATGAATGCCCACAGGATGTTGAGGGCATCATGGGCTGAGAGACAAACACGTGAAGAACATGACTTATATGTGCACAGTGGTTGGGTCAGTCCAGGCAGACAGCTTTGGTGATTTTTAACCAGTTCTGTCACAGCCCCTAAGAGTGGCCAGCATGTCCTTACTGTTGCTGTGGAGCCTGGGCATGTGGAGGTCCCGGGGAAATGAAGATGTGGCAGCCATAGTATTAGGCCTGATCAGGACCCGCTAAGAGCTCAGTGCTGAGCAGGGAGTTGCAGGAAGGGACTAACATGGATTATGTTGAGGAAGCGGAAGGGCTCTCAGGAGATGGCTTATAAGGCAAGGGTATTATTTTAATAGGAGTGTAGGAACAGCAGAGAAAGAGCTCGCTCGAGTGGGAGGTGCTTGGTGAGCAATGAAAGGATATGGGATAGGTAGGGGGACCGGATTGGAAATGAGTCCTTGGAAATGGAAGAAATGACTATTTTCAAGAGTGAAGAGAGAACTAGGTTTAGATTTCAGCTGATTTCTAACTAATCAAACCAGCTCTTAAATTTGGAACCAGGAAGGACACCCCTGGAACTCTGCTGGCGTTCCTACTCCGGGTTTGCGGAACTGCCCTGGCGGCTTACAGAGAGAATCTCTCGTCATTCATGCTCACACGAGAGAAGCCAGTCTCTGGACAGGCTGTCATACGTCAGTTACCACACTTGTGCCCTGGACTGAAAATGCACCCCACCCACCAAGCTGGACAGACACATCAATGGAAACACAGACTGTAAAGCCAACGGTCACCCTCGCCGTTGTCACCCAAGGACAGCAGGGCCTGCGGGTGACTCTCCGTAACCCTGCGAGCCGTGGAGGCCACACCGACCCAGAAACCCCACCCGTTCCACGCACAGCCTGTGAGCTGCTGAGGCACCTAATCACCCCAATCCGGAGCAACAACCGTCTTTAAAATTAGCAGCTTTTAATGATGTGAGCAGAAATCCTTGGGCACTTTAAAGAACTGCTCTCCGGAGGGCCGACTGCTAAGACCAGCCGTCTGCCTGGTAGGTAGAGGGAGGAAAGATCCTTCCGCTGTCTCTAAACAACAGGGGTCCAAGGAATGAGCTACAGCCGGCTTGGGGTGGAATTAGGGGGGGTGGGGTGTCAGGAGAAGAGAAACCAGAGAAAGTCATGCATACAAAGTCTGTAAAGAAAATGTTTTATTTAAAGTGTTAAATACCATCACCAGAATGAGTTTGATTTACATTAGTTGGTGTTCTTTACAGGACTAATCTGCCCTTTTTATTTTTTTTTTATTTTCCAACTGGAATTCCCTTTAGTTTTAAAACATACTATGTACAGGGCAGCAATGGTCACTGGAATAGTGCTATTTACATGACTAAACCACAAGTCGAGGTGCAGACATGTGAAAATTAAAAAAAAAATACACCAACTTTTAAATAAATACTGCACAATGACGCGTATGTACAAATATTCCATACAGTCATGTCCTTCTTATTAAAATTAGAAAGAATTTATATAGGAATATACACAAAAGATTATGTGACCGCGTCTTAGTGTCAGGGGAATGGTAAACATTTATTCTAAGGGAGAGGACAGACTCTGTAGGTCTATGAAACCAATTGTTGCTGGTACACAGGTGTCTAGATTACTTCAGTCAAGTTCTACTCATTTTCTGAACGACTCTGCCCGGGGCCATCACAGATCTCAGAATGCCAAGACACAATCTCGGTGTTATTTCATATCGCACCACATAAAGAGAAGGCATTTTTAGTGATACTCATTTTAACTTTTGCACCATAGCAAGCATGACAGTTTTAAATGGTCACCACTCAATTTAAAAAGAGAGAAAGAAAAAAAAGAGCAATTTTTGTGCATGGCCTTAAAGAAATGACATGGGTGTGGATTTCAATAGTCATTGCAAGAGATTAAATCAACCTCTGTGTGACAGCGTGTACATAAAGAAACAGGAAGTCCGGGTGGTTTATTACGTTAACCAGCGAGTTTTCCGCCACACAGGGGGCCTTTAAGAGAAATCTGACCTCGTAGCACCACCCAATGGCAATAACTGTCTGTAAAATCAAAGGCAGGGGTCTGACTTGGGATTTGTGTGTGGACTTTTGGTGATGGCATCAAAGAACTATGAATAGGCAGAATGACCGCCTTTGAGTCATCTAAAAATTGGAGCTTTAAAATTATTTGTTGCAAATTCATGTTTACTCTATTTATTTAGAAATACAATTTGTGAAAAATTGAATTTTACGACAGAAAAAAAATGAATTAATAAACAGCCCTGTGTTCCAGGGCCTCAAAGTTTTAGCAGTGTTTCTATTCACATAGTAAATGGAAACTGGCTAAAGAAATTGCTTTAATTAATTAAAAAGCGAAACCCAAGACCTTGTAGAAATAATAGTTTAACCCCTGTATGAATAATGCTGGTGCTAACAACAAATTCACTGGACATTACAATGGCCACATGATTTTAGAATTTTCCTGTAAACTAAACTTGGAAGGCGAAAATAAAATTACCATGCACTCACTGGACAACACATTGCAAAAGTTCAACTATCTTCCTTATCAAATACATGCTGACTTACTTTAGTGCACTCCCAAGTCATGTTGCAAAATCCTTTCCAACATGCTTGAAATACAGAAAGCTCTTAAATTTTTTCCCCTTGAGAAATTCATAAATTCAGAAGTATCGACAGCTCTGAATCAAACCTGGGGTACAAGAGAGTATCAGGTCAAAAACTGGTAATTGTTTAGAATAATGTTCACTCTGGTAGAGGAAAGAAAATAAAAGATTAAAAGAGGGAGGAGAAGAAGAGGAAGGAGAAAGATGTGAACAATTTGCACATATTGAACTTCATTAGATATGTATATTTAACATGGAAATAAATGGAATATTCACTTATTTGTCACAAAGAGAATTTTAAGGAACTTCTAGAAAGTATTTTCTTTTGTAATGTCTGCCAAAACACAGACTATGATTAAATAATAAACATGGCGTGTCTTTGTATCACCCTGTTGCATTCTTGCCCCCTTTTAAAACCATGCACTAGTGAAAGTTATTTTTAAAAATAATATAAATTGTTGAAAATGGCTGAGTTTTATTCTTTTTTTTTGTTTGTTTGGTTTTTTTTGCAAGTTGCAGCCCCAAGAAAATAACTTAAGTATTCAGCTAATCTGTGTCCATGCAGAAAGGTTTCTTTAATTTCATTCAGTACAGTGTAGCCACAGAATTTTGTTTCCCACAGTCCAATGCATCTTGGCGTGAGGGAGTGAGGGCTGCTGGGGCTCCGAGGTCTGCCCCGGTGCACGCTGGCCTGGCTGCCCCCGTCCGCTGCCCGGGGAGGCCTGATGCTCTGTCTGCCTCAGACCACTGCTCTGGTCTCCTGCTTTTCACCTGATGCTTCCTAGACTTCACTCCTTGACTTATCGCATGGCTTAGTGGCTGTATCGCTCACTCCATTTCTGTGGCATAGCAGGGCTTTGGGGGTCAGAGAAATGAAGAAAAAGGAACGGTAAAAAGATAAAGGTGCCATTGAAAAGGGCTTTTGTTGCATGAGACTGACTGATTCTTTGAGATTAATCCATGGCTTCAGATTGGACCAAAATTTGAGTGTTACTGAACTCCAAACCTGACAGTTCTTCACCGCGCTGCTCTCTCACCTGAGGGCCTTCTTTAGGGCACAATGTGTGCGACTTCCTCTGAGAACACAGGATCGCTTTGTATCCCTAGAAACAGGCTCAGAAGACACAACATTAAGCATGCAGTGTTACCAGGGTTAGCGACCTGTGATTTTTTTTTTTTTGTAACGCTGGTTGCTATGACAACAGTTTTACAGCTGCTATGAACGAGAGTAAGAAGGTCCCGTTGAACTTTCCAGAGATGACTGGGATGCTCTTCTTGTCAGAGGGGCCAACGTTGGATCTACGAGGGAGGAAGTGGGGAAAAGTTTGAACCATCCAATCACCATGTTGGACAGCTCCAGTTCATCTAAAAGTATCTGGGCCACTCCCATGAAAGATTTGTGATCCATGCGGCCATAATCTCCCCAGACAATGATCTGTTGGCAAAATAAAAAGGAGAATAATGTTAGTACAATCATGTGTTTAAAAACTTGGAAACTAAAATACATTCAGTGCTGGCATCAAACATCACGTTAAATAGTTGTACTGACTACTGGGATCGTTGTCTTTCACTACCAGAATCCAAAGGTGTATTAGGAAAATTCTATCAAGTGTGAAGACCATAGTGGTCCAGGGAGGTTGGCGTTCACATGTGATGGGGTTGGCTAGTCTATACTTCACTTTAAAGGAAACAACAGTGTCTGTAGCTTTACAGCACAGGCCACTGCTTTGAAGTTTCCCAAGAATTTCAGCGGGGAGGAGCAGAAAAGCACGTGGGAAGTAAGGATGCTGGCGACAGGTCTGGCTCCACGAAAGCGCGTTCTTAGGTTAAGGGATAAACAATTCAGTAAATACCTGTAAGACCTTTCCTTGGGGACTTTCTTCGAAAGATAACAGCTGCTGGTATAGGGGTTCCAGCGTTTTTCGTGCCACTTTTGTTTTCTTTTTGGCTACGCAGACTCCATTATCCAGTAGATACACCTTTACGTATGGTGCTTGGGGAAGAAAAGACAGGGAAGAGTGAAGTGATGCGCTGTGGTTATGAAATACCCAACTCATGGGTGACATCTGCCACAGGTTAACCTTGTCAGAAAGCTGGCAAACCACAGTCACTGGCCTTTCCACGTTAGGGAGACAAAAGATAACTATCAGCTAGCTATTCAGGCAGTTTTCGGCAATGTCGACAGCCTCTGAAATGATTACTAATTTGCCATCATAGATTTGCACTAACTAAGGTCAAATGCTTCTAGTCCCTACCAGTATTCAAGGGAGACCTCTTACTCTTTCATTTGTCAACACTTCAATCTAATCAGACATGCTTTAATCTATATTGTTTTATTCACCCATCCCCATGAATCACTTAGTTATCACTCAAGGGGGTTTTTATTTGGAGAGTAAACTTGTTTAATAAACACAAAGGGTTTGTTTATTCATGGTGGTGTGGGCACACGACGATGAGGCTGAGGTTCTGTATAATATGTCCGATTAGCTGGGAAGAGGAAACGAATTCTGAATTCCGTAGCTTGAGATTTATCTGACCGGCTCTTCATGAAAGCATTTTCATGCGTGTAGAAATGATCTTATTCTGTCCAAGGGAGTGGGTCGACTCGCTCCAAGAGCTGTCTAAATACACCTGCCTCAGTCACCACCGCAAGGCTGTACAGCAGGTCATCTACATGACAACTTAGAATTTCTGCAGGGGTGGCAAAGTTAAGAGACTCAAAATCACCACCAGCCCGTGGAGGTGCTGAGGTGAGAAACCTCGTTTCAGAATCCTCAGTAGCTGTTCTGTCATCAGATCCGGACAGACATCCCTGCACAGTGCAGGAGTCTGAGGCACTGCCCATGCTACAAGCAACTCAGTACACGCACGCCTCCAGTACGAAATATGTGGCATCGTGAAAATTGATCACGATGCCTCGTTTCCTTTATACACTACAGGAAATAAGTCTTATCATGAGAATGACCTGCATAAACAGGCTTATGCTACGTTGGGGCCTGTATCTGTTTTTATTCTAATTCCAGGACCTAAGGGTTCCCGAGGAAAATTTTGAAGCTCCAGATAAATCGAAGAATAACACAAAACACCAGCTAATGAGAAAAAGAATTACTAAGGGACGTGCTGTACGAAGTGAATGATCTGTGTGGTAGTTTTTATTGTGCAGCGGTTTCTACTACACACGTACGCACTTATCTAACATCTATTATCCCTACCGGGCCCCCCTCACTGGTGTTCACTCAGGACACACACACAAACTACTACAGGTAACTGACTCATGTTAGAATCCTCGATGACCTGAAAACAAAGTTTTCAGCAGCAAATAAAAAACAAAGTCTCCGAATTGCAGGATGTGGACTGTGAGCAATAATAGAAGAATCTGCCCTGACCAGTTTGGCTCAGTGGACAGAGCGTCGGCCTGAAGACTGAAGGGTCCCAGGTTCGATTCCAGTCAAGGGCATGTACCTTGGTTGTGGGCACATCCCCAGTGGGGGGCGTGCAGGAGGCAGCTGATCGATGTTTCTCTCTCATCGATGTTTCTAACTCTCTATCCCTCTCCCTTCCTCTCTGTAAAAAATCAATAAAATATATATATATTTAAAAATAGAAGACTCTCTTCTGCTCTTACCTGGCAGTGTCTTGGAACCTGGTTTGACAACAAGGCCACGGGCCCGGATGATTTCCACCTCCAGCTGCCCCTTTTTGTCCATCATTCCCACCTGAATGTCACCTGGTGGCATGTGAGGGAGAAACAAACAGAACTTAATACACAGATGCAGTCAGAAAAATGCTAGGCAAAGGCCTTGGCTTAACATCATTTCCCATTTACTTTCCTAAATTCATATAGATTCCACATTTTATGAATAGCATCTCACTTTCAACCGCATATAAATGAAATGGGGGAAAAATTAGTTGAAGATTTTTTTTTAAATTGCTAAAATATAAAATACTTATTCCTGCTGATAATACAGTGGGGCCTTGACTTACGAGTGTCTAGACTAACGAGTTTTTTGAGATACCAGCTGTCTCTCGGCTGATTTTTTGCATTGAGTTGACAGAGTAATTTGAGTTAATGAGCTCCTTAACGAGCTCAGTCTTGGAAGGAATTAAACTCGTAAGTCAAGGCCCCACTGTACCGTTAAGAATCCCAGGAAATGAAAGAATGTGATTCTCCACAATCTAAAAGAACAACAGAATCACGTGACAGAAATCCTTACCCATTGCAGGTGTAGCCAGAGTCTGGCGCCCCACTAGCTGGGCAGGGCCAAGGCCATCCAGAAAATCGCTGAACTGGCTGTCAGACGCCAAGCGGACACCAGGGAAGATCAGACTAAAAGCAGAATAACACATGGGATTAAACTCTCAACCTCTGTTTCCAATCAGCCAGCCCAGGTTTCCCGGTAGCCCCTTCCTGCAGGAGCTGTGGGAACCACTGCTTGGCCATGTGCATTGATTGGATCCCATGGTCCTCCCTCCTTATTCTCTAGCGGCCCATGTGTGTCACCAGGAGCACTGGTCACACTGGACTGCAGGCTTCCTTCCGCGTATGTGTCTTTCTCTACCTTGTCTGGAGGACATGGACTATGATTTCTATTAACAGCGCTCAGGACATATTGAACACTTACTCTGTGACCGGCATCATATTTGATCATCTTAGCTGCCCTAGGAGATAGATTCCATTATTTAACCCATTTTATAGATGAAGAAACTTTTTTCGTATCACTCCCACCAGCACACAAACATACCATTATTTCTTCCACCTTAAAAAAAATTCCCTCCACTAACCCCATTTGCCTCTCCAGCTACCACCCCATTTCTCTCCTGAAACTCCTTGAAAGAGTTGTCTCTGTGTGCTCTTTTCAATGTCTTTCCTCTCACTCTCCCTTGAAACTCTACTACGTTTTTCCTTGCTCTCTTCCTTGCTTTATCTTCTCCACTCCACTAAAATGTCTCTGATCAAGGTTAGCCAGTAGCCGCAGTGGTATGCTGAACTGCTAATACTCTGTACTAATTAGTATGGCTTAACTTAGCATCATTTGACACAATAGATACCTGTTTCTTCCTTGAAACCCGTTTTCCACTTTGTTTCCCAGACTCTCTAGCCCTGGTTTTACTTTTTGGCCACTTTACCACAGTCTCCTTTGGTAGCTCTGCCTAAATATTGGGAGCTTAATCCTTTGACCTCTTATCATTTCCATGCCCTCATTCCCGTGGTAACCTCATCCAGTCTCATGGTTTTAAACACCATCTATACCAGCGGTTCTCAACCTGTGGGTCGCGACCCCTTTGGTGGTCAAACGACCCTTTCACAGGGGTCGCCTAAGACCATCCTGTATATCAGATATTTACATTACGATTCATATAGTGGCAACATTAGTTATGAAGTAGCAACGAAAATAATTTGATGGTTGGGTCACAACATGAGGAACTGTATTTAAAGGGCCAGAAGGTTGAGAACCACTGAAATCTATACTGATGTTGCGTAGAATGGCATCTCCAGCTTGAGACTCTCCCTTGGGCCGCAGACCTGTATTCCAACTGCTTTGTCAACATATCTGCTTGGATGGCTAATAGGCAATGAAATATAACTTGTCCCAAACCCCAAGTAAACAAAAAACACAAACTCTGTTCCCCTCAGAGGGTCCCTATCTGAACCCCCAACTTTACCCTTTCAATTAATCCTGGAGATGTCTTTGCTCTTTGTTATATATTGAATTGTTTCCCCCTCCCTCTCCCTCTGGGAAATTCATGTACTAAAGCCTTAATCCCCAGTATGACTATTGGGAGACACGGCCTTTAAAGAGCTAATTAAGGTTAAGTGAGGTCACAAGGGTGGGGCCTTAATCTAATAGGACTGGGGTCTTTATAAGGAGAGGAAGAGTCAGCAGGGACATGCACCCACAGAGAAAAGACCATGTGAGGACTCAGTGAGAAGGAGGCCAACGGTGAGGCAAGGGGAGGGGCCTCAGGAGAAATCAATCCTGCTGACACCTTGATCTTGGATTTCCAGCCTCCAGAATTATGAGAAAATATATTTCTGTTGTTTAAGCCACCCAGTCTGTGGTACTGTGTTATGGCAGCCCTAGCAAACTAAGACACTCTCTTTTTCTCATGTCATACCACATGCATCAATATTACTGGCTCTACTATCAAAATACATCTAGAATCTGACCCCAATAATGCTACCACTGTGGCCCAAGCCCTCATTTCCAGCTTCTGTATGACTGCAACAGCCTTCTGAGGGACCTCCCTGTTGCCACCTTTGCTCGCCACCCCCACAGCAGACAGAGTGATGCCAGACGTCAGAGTGATGTCTTCTCAAAACCCTCCATTGACTTCTCATCCCTCAGAGTAAAAGCAAAGTCCTTACAATGATGTGTACAGACTACACAAACTGTCCATCCCTGCTCGCCACATCTCAATTCCTAGTCTGTTACCACCTCTGCCCTACTCCAGTGCTGCCCTCCACTGCTGACACCTGCCAAGCTCCTGCCTCAGGGCCCCAGGACCCCTTCAGCATAGAATGTTCCTCCCTCAAATATCCATATACTCACTAACATCCTTCAGATCTTTACTTAGATGTCTCCTTTTCCCTGTCTACCCTACATAAAACCTTACACATACCCTGTATCATCTCTCTTCCTTTCTTTGTTTTTCACCTTAAAACTTATACTTCCTAATCTACTACATATTTTCATAGTTTTTCTTCTTTAATGGCTATCTTGTCTACTATACTATAGGTCTGGTGAAGGTAGAGTTTGTTTCTTTTCTTCTATTTTGTTCATTGATACATCTCCAGCACCTAGAACTGTGCCCGGGGCATTGTAAGCACTTAATGAGTAATTGTTAAGCTCAATCAATTAATTAAAACAAAGCCTAGAAACTCACCCAAGTTTCTATAGTGCCAAAAAACAGATAAGAACTTAAGCCTATATGATTCTCAAGTCCAAGGTCTTAACCCTCCACTGATTTTGGCTCCCTTGTATGGCTTATATCCCCAACTCATAGCACAGTGCCCAGAACTCTAGAAGTTCTAAGTTCTGTTTGTTGAATGAATTTAGGACTATTCATCCATTTCTCCAGTAAGACTATAAACATCTGAAGTGAGGGGTGGCAGCGTAAACTTTTGATACCCCTAACGTATCTATCTAACATGGTGCTTTGCAAAGACGAGTGCTCAGTGCACATTGACTTTGTACTCGAATCTCCCTCTCTTTTAAGGCATCCTTGATTCACATTGAATCCATGTTTTCCCCCAAACTTAGTCCCCAAAGATACAGTTAATCCGAACATTGTGATGTTTCCATAAGTATCCCACATAACCTTATTTATAAGTGCAGAGAAGCCCTATACAGCTCTTCTATTTATAGACTCGTGCTAGACAAATGGTCCGTAGGGCATATCATGAATACTCTGCCAGCAGCGCCTATGGCCTCACACCGGTGAACTGGCCCATGGGTGCTGTCTAAACAGCTGATGCTTCCGTGGGAATGACAGAGTGAAGTCAGTACACCCCACTTTCCTCTATTAATGTCACTTATGCACCATCTGCTGATCTGCAGTTGCTAATTACTGTTAGATTGCTGGCGACAAGGCTACACCATCTTCATAAATGCCCCCACAATATCTCAGGGGCAGCCGACTCAAGGCGAAGCTGTGTGGTAACTGCGTACAGGGAAGGCTCCCAAGCTTTGGCATTAGGCTGCTACCTTTGTCTGCGCTGCTTGCTACTGCATGGAACGAGGCACCCAGCAATGTTCTGTATTTCGCAGTACTGAGTCTCAGAGCAAAGGTTTATAAAATCAGCATTGTTCCACAGAGTAGTGGCATGAGTGCTTATCATTTTTGTGCGTTTAGGTGTATTGTTTCAAGCTAGGGCCGATTTTCAATCGCATATGCACTGTGAAAGTCCCATTTTAGCGTCTTGCCATTAAAGCCCAACATTTTATCCCCAGACCTAGGTCCCCGGTATAAAGAGCCAGGTGATGCCACATTTCTCGGTGGCAGGGGAGCCACGTTCCCTCCACAGCAAACCGGTGAAAACCAAGATGGCGCTGCAGGGTGGGAGGCAGTTTTTGTGACAGCAGAGAGAGAGGGGGGCCTGGAGGGCTGCGCATCGCCGCCGGTGGCCTCACTCACTTTCCTTCGGAGCTGTAGCTGTTCATGCTGCCGTCGGCGGACTCCCGGCTCGCCTGGCGGGTCATCCAGTTCCTCATCTCCACGGCCAGGCCTGTTTCTGTGCTCCTCTGCACGGTGCTCCGCAGCTTCTTACCGCCTGCCTCTGCACACAGAACACAAAAGGGTGACGGAGTGGCCATGGCCACCTGGCGAGAAGAAGGATCAGCCCACACTCCGAGGTCCTCAGAGGGAAAGAGCTGCGCTCTTATTCAGGAAACAGAGAGAAAAGGTGTTTCAAACAACGCCTTGTTGAGTGGGATGGACATTTTCTAAACGTCTTCAAGCACAAAATGCCATTGTTTTGTTTCCCTTTCAAACAGTGTTCCAACTGGTAACGAAAGAAACCAAAAAGTTCAACCTCCGGGAAATATAATAAGCTTTGTTTTTATTGTAATATTTAAATGCAAGATAAACTCAAACCTGCCTTTTTCTTTTTCCTTTCTCTTTGGCATAGTAAAAGAACAAGGCTTTCACATGATTTCCAAAGAGCCGGTGGTGAGTAATACTCAATGCTAGCCTTAACTTTCATATGACATCCTGTTTTTTTTTTGTTGTTGTTTTTTGTTTTGCAGGATGATTGATGTTAGAAGGCAAGGAAAGCTATCCAAGGGAGATAGCCTTGTTTGCTAATAGTTCCCCATCTCTTGGTAACTTTCAGAGAGATTCCCAAAGGAATACAAAAACCCAGCAATGTCCGGTAAAAAGAGCTTTTGACTATCTGGTCATGGGTAAGTCGTGTCCTCAAGGACCTTCAGCAGTTTGGATCAGTGTGGATCTGAGGTTTACTTATAGAAGTCAATTAAAAGGCCAAATAGGAAACGGAGTCAAGTACCACAGATGTGACAGAGGCGAGGGGTGCTATCGGAGAGGTCAGGGAGGAAGGAGCGTCCTCATGGAGGGAGTGGGATTTGAGCTGAGCTTGCAAAATGGGCAGGTTGGGGCCCAAGGAGAAGCAAGAAGGCAGTGCCTTTGCAGAGGGAAAGAGCATGGACAAAGGCGTGAAGAGGATGTGCCGCTGGGCGATGGTGCAAATAACCAAAACATATGGAGGAGTGATGGCGGGGGTGGGTTAAATGATAAAGGGCCTTGCAAGCTGGCATGCGGCGTTGAGAGACTACCAAAGCTGGGCCAACAGGGTGACAGTCCGAATGATCCGTAATACTTTACTTCTTGTCAGGTCTAAATATTTATCGACATTGACCATGCATATCATTAGCATTTTGGGGATTCAATAAGCTCTTTTCGTGTCTGATATTAATGAATTCATTTCAGATCAACACATATTTGCTGACATTGCCAGTGACTTGATGAAATTCCTTTCACCAAACCTCTCGTAGTATTTGCTCACCATTTGAAACACTGTTTTAAATTTTATCTGTTCTCCACTCCCACCTTTAATGTACATCAAAATGCTTTAAAAAGTATATAATAAAGTAACAGTTATGACTCATTTCCAGCTCAGTTCCATAATCTAAGGTTGATATCTAAAATAATTGATAATCAACATGTTGTACTGATATGAACTTAAGATGATATAAAGTATCCTCCATTGATGAGAGAAAGCTCTTCTTGACAGAGGCATGTTCGTTAAGAAATGTAAAGGAAGCCCGGCTGGTGTGGCTCAATGGTTGAGCATTGACCTATTATCCAGGAGGTCACAGTTCCAGTCAGGGCACATGCCCAGTTGTAGGCTTAGTCCTCAGTAGCGGGTGGGCAGGAGGTAGCCAATCATTGATTCTCTCTCACCATTAGTGTTACTATCTCTCTCTCCCTCTTCCTTCCTCTCTGAAATCAACTATATATGAAATCTAAAGGGAATAAATTTTAAAATTACCAATTTGTAACCTCCAATGGAATGAATGATTCAAATAAGGCACATTGATGAATGCTAACATCACTAACTATTCATATGAGCCCCCCCCCCCCCCCGCAAAAAAAATCTTTCCACGGATTAGTTCTACTTGCTAAAGGAAAACACACTTTAACACTGGGAGACCTGGCTATCACCATTGCAATCAAGTGGTCAAATTTAGCAGCAGTAATAGCAGGACAATCAAATGTGCTTCCGGATACAACCTACACAATATCACCTATTGAGTTGTTCTGAACAAAAATATACAACCTGTTTCTCATCAGATCTTTGTAACCAACTTCTAGTTTTCAAAAATGCAGAAGATAGGGTAAAAAGATAAATGACAATTACAAAAACAAAAAATCAGACAAACCCAAAACATGGGATTTCATTCAAGAAAATTGGCCTAATCTCTTAAAATAGCTAATATCATGAAAATAAACAAACTAACAAGGTTGAGTAAATTGTTCCAGATTTAAAAAATATCATAGAGATGTAACTATTAAAAGCTGTGATTGCTTTAAATTTTTTTTTTTTTTTGGGGGGGGGGACCAAAAACAAGAAACCATAAAAGCAAAACACTCTAAAAGCAATAGGACAGATTGGCTGTTAAATGAGATAAGGAAATTATTAATTTTCCTAGGTAGATCATGGCATATCTTATAAAAGGTGTCCTTATTATATTACAGGAAATATTTATACCTGCAATGTTATATTACTTGCAATTTATTTTACAATGGTATAGCAAAAAAAATACATATAACAAAGAGGTTAAAGTGTTTAAAATAAAAGGATAGGGAGGAAAAGTAGATCTTGGCATTTATCAATTTACTATGCATGACTTTATTTAGAGCAATTCCCAAATGGCCACATCAAAAAGCAATAACATTTTGTCCAGGTGTGAATTGGAATCATGGAAGGTACTGGGCTGGCGTGAGGGAGCCAGGCCAAGGGCTGAGTCCTGCTCATGTAGCTTTCCTGCTCACTTCCTGCGAAGAATGCCCTGTTAACAATGACCACCAAGTGAGATATACAACCTCCGTTAAGTCTGAAAATGTGGAGTGAGGATATGTACAGGAAACACGACTTTCAAAGCAACGAGATTCCTAAAGGTCTCAGGACAAAGCCCTTGCAATGGCAAAGGTGAATTGTCTTATGTGTAATGTCTGAGTCTCTCACAGCAAAAGTGAGGGGAAAATGTGCTGAAATGGGCGATGAGACCCAGCCATCACTTGTCAAAGGGCAACAATACAATGAGCATGCGGTCCTCTTGGTCACAGATTGCTGTCTACATGCATCCTCTTCAGAACAACTCTAGGGATCCTATTTTACAGATGCAGCGTCTGAGTCCCCAGAGGGTTACACAGATCCCTGACACCACATAGAAAATGACAGGGCCAGACTTCAAATTCCCTGCTATTCACCGACGGACTGTCAGATAACCAGTAGAAGCCTGTGCAGCTGACAATGGAGACGGCACTGAGCTAACTCTGCACTGCGTGTGAGAGGCCCTGTAACAGCAGCTGGTGGCGGGAGGAGCAGAGCAGTGAAGAGGTCAGGTCCTGGTGTCAAACTGTCTCTCTGACCACCTACCAGCTGGGTGAGGCTGACTAAGTTACCCTCCCATGACTCAGTTTTCTAAAAACTGAAATGGCGCTGACAATAATCATGTCTACCTAATAGAGCTTTTGTGAGAATTAAAGAAAATAATATATTTAAAGTGCTTGGGGTAGTACCTATTATGTAGAAAATCTTCAATTAATGACACAGTTATTACCACCAGGTAGGGAATCAGTGAACATGTATTCTAGGCCAATCTCTACCACTAATTAGCTGGCCCTGTGGCCTTCTCTGAGTCATATCCCCTGAGTCTCTGGTTCCTCATTTACAAAAAAGTACGGGGAGGATGACAGATGATGTCCGATCTCTTAGCTCTGAAGTCTCCTAGTTTGTATCATTAGTGTATGACCAAGACCATGGTTAATAGCATGCATTGAGGAAGATAACGCTACTCCTTGTCACCTGATGGAATCAAAGAATTCTAGGCAATATGCTGGGCATTTATAAGAGCTCCTTAAAATATGTCTTTTAAATGTACTTTTTCTGATACATACATAGACTTATTTAAAAAAGTAAATGCGTTTTCAGTACCACAAATCCTTTGCATCTCATTCATAATAAAAGGAATTTAATCTAAATATAACTCATTTAGTGTTCCAAATGCTCTGTCATGTTATGCAGCCTGAAAACTGAACCTATTTAACACTGACGGTTCTACACAAAGTGAGTGTGGTAGGCAGAATTCTAAGATAGCCCCCATGATTATGTTACTTTACAGGTCAAAAGGGATTTTGCAGAAGTGATTAAGGTTACTAATCAGTTAACCTATCGATACAGAGATTACCTTTGTGGGCCTGACATATACATGAGACCTTTAAAAGCAGAGGGCTTTCTCTGGAAGGTTCCAGAAAAGTCAACCGGGAAGATCTGAAACACAAGGAGGATTCGATTCGGTGTACATTTAATACTGGCTTGAAGGTGGAGGGGACTCTGTGGAAAGGACCCGAGAGCAACCTCCAGCTGTGGACAGCAAGAAAACAGGGGAGCTGGATGCCCTTGGAAGCAGATTTCCCTCCAGAGCCTCCAGGCAAGAGCTCAGCCCAGCCACCACCTTGATTTCAGCCATGTGACACATTAAGCAGAAAACCCAGACATGCCATGTGCGACCTACAGACCTGTGAATAATGAATGGGTGTTTCTTTAAGCTGCTGAATTCGTGATAATCAGCAATTACTTTTTTAGATAATTATTAACGAAGAGATCTATGAAAATAATTTATTATAACCATAGGAATGGACCAACTAAAATTATTTGTAAGAGCTCAATAGCCACGATAAAAAAGTGTATATATATTTTTAAAAAGTATATATACATACACATCCTACCTATCTATAGATGCATAATATGTGTGTGTGTGTGTGTGTGTGTGTGTGTGTGTGTGTGTGTTAAGATGTTTAAAAATACTCAGGTAGCAAACTGTAGAACTAAGGCCCTGATCATGTTTTAGAGCCCTTAAACCACTCACTCTCCTGTTAGGTATTTTAAGCCAACGTGCATGTGGAGAAAATGCCGGCAGGTAAAAATCAAGTTCTGAACTGCAAAACATCAAAGGCAGAAAGCTGAACAGGGGAGGCGCCCCGTTATTCTGCTCTGCTTAGTCTGATGACTCATTTACTTGGCGCCCGCTACGT